ATACTTTTAATTGGGGGGTGTTAACCACAGACATTTAATAAACAGTGATTACTTGAGTTTTCATCTGTTCTGCAGGTTCTTCTAAAAGGAACTCACACCTTCAGGGAGAAAATCGACCCTCATGATGCTTTTCTAAGTTATAACCAGAAGAAATTTTTTCCTTCCCAGAGAGCAACAAGCCCTGTCACAATGTGACATGGGTAGCAAACTGTGAATCTGATTAAGTGTGTAATTATACAGCAGATTGCAAGCATAGTATGCTACTACTTAAATCAACTGACTTGCATGCCAGAAGCATGGCAGTCCCAGAAATACGGCACTCAATACAGACTGAGCTGAACACATTAGGGATCATTTCCAGTGGGGGTGAAGAATGAGCCAGGCTCACTTCACCCAGGCTAATGGCACCAAAAAAAAAAATGGCACAAAAAAGACAGCAGCCACACAGAAATTCAAAGTCTAAAGGAGACACGGAAGAAAACTTGGGCAATCCTGTGGTGTGACAGATATCACGTGGAGTTTCCTTGCATCATAGATTTGTACATATTTGTCTCAGTCTTTTTTGGATGTGACTTTCAGTGTAGAGCTCTAATGCTGCATCTCTTCCTTGAAATACAGTGAATTGACAATATCTTTGTCTGTGTAAGACAAGTATTTCCCCTTTATCAAACTACTCTTCCCAAAGAAGTAGTAGTTTTGGGATGCGTGCCATTATACCGTGCAGTTCCTAGATTTGAATACTGACACTTGCATAAAAACACTTATAGTGAGAATTTCTGTTAAATAATCTACACAAAACTGACCTACATTTGCAAATCTCCTTTGAACCACTGTAACAGAAATACACAAGGCATTAAAAGCAAACAGCTATCATGATACTGAATTCAGAGCTCTGTGCGTCCACCACAGTAGGGCACAAGTAAACATGGTTTTGCCTCAAAGCTACTGCCATTATCGTTGTTGCTTTGGGCACTTAGCAACAGATGGCACATTTCTGGGGAATTTTGCAGGCAAACAGACACACTGTAAGGTACCATTTTGCCTTGTCTGGGAGGGGAGGTTGGGAGGACTAGGGACTGCAAGTAAATTCAGAGTGAACAGATGGAAAAACATGTTCTGAAGTAGAATCAGAGAATCTTTTAGATTGGAAAAGACCTTCAAGATCATCCAGTCCAACCGTTAACCTAGCACTGCCAAGTGCACTACTAAGCCATGTCCCTAAGCACCACATCTACCTATCTTTTAAATACCTCCAGGGATGGGGACTCAACCACTTCCCTGGGCAGCCTGTTCCAGTGCCTGACTACCCTTTTGGTGAAGAAGTTTTTCCTAATATCCAACCTGAACCTCCCCTGGCTCAACTTGAGTCCATTTCCTCTTGCCCTATTGCTTGTTACTTGGGAGAAGAGACTGACTCCCACCTCATTACACCCTCCTTTCAGGTAGTTGTAGAGAGCAATAAGGTCTCCCCTCAGCCTCCTTTTCTCCAGGCTAAACAACCCAGTTCCCTCAGCTTCTTCTCACAAGACTTGTTCTCTAGACCCTTCACCAACCTCGTTGCCCTTCTTTGGACACGCTCCAGCACCTCAATGTCCTTCTTGTAGTGAGGGGCCCAAAACTGAACACAGTTTTCAAAGTAACAGCGAGTCTCCCAGAAATCAGCAAAAGCAGCCGGAAATCTACTCTGAGTTTACAAACATGGCTGATGATAACTTTCCAGGCATGAGGGACAGGGTGTGACTGTGATCTACCCTATGTGATTGATGGACCCTCTCTCTCATTGGCAGTCTTCAGACTTGCACGGTTTACTGAGAGTTTCTGGGTGACTGACTGTGACCAGCTTTACCCTTTGGTTCTCTCAGTGTTGGCAATTAATTGTTAATCCAGTGGATGTCCTCACCTCAGCCGGATCTCTCAGCAGAAGGGAAAAGTCAGGCTCCCAATCTGCTAAAAATTTCAAAAAGTATGCATTCATAGGTTACGTAGCAGAAAAAAAAAAAAAGAAAAACACACTGGGCTGGAAGATGTGTGCAGAAAAACAGGTATATAGCAGTTTAAATAAGGTGAATAAAGCCCAGGAATATAAAATCAAACCAGAGAACAAAGTGAGCTGCTTGTCTTGTGTGGGAATGGAAAAATTGTGCTGTGACAGAGACATGCATAGTGGCAAATAGGTGAAACCAGCAGTAAATGATCTAACTTTCTGAAAATCATGATTTTTCTGCCAGACATTTCTGTACCTAATAATGTACTCTTGCTTTTGACATAAGGTGGATAAAATTTAAATAATAATTTGGTTAAAGGTTGCCCACTGGTCCTGATTGTGTTGTTCTCAGTGCAAGGAGAGGGCTATATCCCACTGATAACACATACACTTAATGCTTCAAAAAAAGCTAATTTCACAAAGATGGGAGAAAACAAGGAGGTAAATTTAGATCGGAAAATTCAAGCAAAAAAAAATGTGAATGAAAGCAATGTTTTTTTTTATTATGCACCACACATTATTTGGTCAGAAGTAAACAAATCCCCCAGTGACAGATTAAATGAGTGAGTCTGTTCTCTGATTTAGTTTCCCCTTAAAGAGACTGACAGTTAGTAGTCCCTTAAATAGTTCCTGTCTCCAGACTGTCTCTTCTCCTCATTCCACCAGACATTAGAGAAAAAAACGTTTTTACCTCTTCTAATTCTTCTTCCCAAGGTGGATTCCTGTTGCACATGCAGTAAAGCCAATCTTTCTTGAGCACAAAACCAAGGAGGAGAGCTTTACTGTTCTGCAGTGGCCAGTAGGGCCTACCTTCACAGTAGTATGTGCCTTGGTCATTTTGTTTATATTTGCTGTGAATTAAGCTGTCCCATTCCTTTGCAGCTGCACACGCATTAAAAACTCCTGCCTATTATGTTATTATTTATTACCTGTTTTCAGCATATGGCACTGCAGTACTCTCATGCTATTTTGCAGGAGCTGAGGTGATTTTCTGCATTTCTGAAAGTTCAGCTAATGACTGGTTTTCAGGTCAAGAAAAGATCCCACTCCTTATGCTGTGCTGCAGTCATAGCTGCCTTCTTGTGATACACCATGTCAGTAGAGTCCTACCTCTACTGCAGACTTGCTGAGGAATCATGCATCAGTTGCTTCATCATGCAGTGAATTTCCAAGTTCAGAAGTATCACTAGTGAGAGCAATGTATTACTACTGTAGCACAAAAAACATTGAGTTGTTACGTTTCATCAAGCATCACCAGAAAGCACTAGTCTGAAAACTGAGTTCTTCTCTTATGCTCATAATTTCTATTTTATGGCTACAAAATTATCCAAAAAGCAATGTTTGTGGAGAGGCTTCAGGAAATTAAAACAACTCATACTTGAGATAAATCAAAATATTTGAAACATTTTGTTTCAGTGTTGACTCCTGTGTATAACCAGAGGCCATACATTAAGAACCAGAAAACCTAGGCTTTCTGGAACATTTTGATGTTTTCCCAAACTCTAAGTTCAAAACAAAATTGTCCAAATGTCCACTACATTTTGATTCTATTGAAGTGGCATACTGAGATGGAAAAATGGTTACATGAACACTTTTTATTCATCATCACCACTAGGCCACATTATCATTTTAGTTGTACTGGCAAAATTCCCACTGTCTTCATTCAGCACTTGCCAAAATACTAATCCTTTGACTTTGGTAAGACACAGTGTTGAAAATGCAGAAAACCACCAGAGCATGTGTTTCTCTTTCTTTGGTGTTTTTGGCTTTGACCCAGGACATGGGAATAAAAGTTTATTTTAGTAGTTTAAATTCAGTCTGGTTTAAATGTGGCATTTTTAAGAATCAGTTTTCAGAACAGAAAAATACAGACCCTAAGGACCAAAGACTGTCCTAAAAGAAGAGCTTGTCCAATTCCAATCCTGAATATCAGGGCCAGATTGTTCACATCAAGTTTACAGAGAAATCAGAAAGGAAAAAACAAATCATACTGGATTATATTCAAACAAATATTCAAACAAACCCTGAATACGCTTTCTATTCAGATAAAATGCTTGGCACTCTTTTGATAACAAAATGACTTTGGGATGAATTTCTGTATAGTTTTAGTGAGTTTGTTTTACAGGGGCTCCCTTTAACAAATAAGCATAGGTCCTAGGAGTAGTCACTCTAAGAAGCAGGATAGCAAGTTCCACGTAACCCTATTTCTACAAGAACTCATATCATATCTACCTGGAAGTTGCCTCCCATTAGCAACTTGTACCATATTTTACTTAGTTTCTTCTACAGACATATGTTGTTGTGTTGACCTTGTATTAGTTTGTGGAAACCACTGAGTTGAATCCCCTTGTTTCCAAGGGGACTTTATCCATGCTGTCAGCTGGCTAGCACAAACGAACTTCACATAGGTAAACATAAAACAGCCTTAGTGTGGCACACTGCTGAATCTAATAAACTTCACTGAGAAACTGAATTATGTCTAGGCAATTTATAGGGACAGAAGAACAAGGATGTATTTCATTTCACCCACTAGCATGAGCACACCTTGACAAGAAGTTTTGCATTATCTATATCACACAAGACAAGAAAAATAGTTCCATTCAGCCTGAGATAAACTCTGTGTACAAGAGGAAGTCAGACCCACTTTCATTTCTTCTGACTTTTCATATCTGAACAAAATGCCAAAGTTACAGCGGTCTTTCATTAATGAGCAGAGATAGGCGCTTCTAAAGGACAACACAAGGAACTCAGGTGGGTTGAAATACTCGTAGACATAACTGCCTCTCTCTGGTGATAATAAAAGAGAGCAAAGACAATACCTCTCCTAACTGAGGAATCTCAGGGGGGGTGGTGCCCCAAGAATAGGATGAGATGAGCTTGCACATTTGTGTGAGTAGCTCATAGCTCCTGCAATAACTACTACATGGTAAAATCCCATGTAAAAAAAAATCTTGAAATCATTGCTTTCAGTGTTGCATTATGAACGTGGCAATTTTCAAGGAAAAACGTCCTCTAGTCAATGCTTTGAGTGCTGTGCCTTCTGTTCCAGGTCTTTTGTCTTTCCCCAGTCCTTAACTGTGTGTTGGATATTCCAAGTTTGTCCTGTGCAGGTCCTCATTACAAGTCTGTATGAAACTGGATTGTCTGCTGTGATTTCGAGGCATCTTTTAGTGCTCCTGTTGATGATGGCTGATCCCTACAAAAGGAAAGGAAATATGAGAGAAGCTGAGGACTTATATATTTAGTGCTCAGACAGGAAACAATTATCTTGGCCTCTACAAACGTGTCTGAGAAACACCAGTATGTCACAGACCTGAATGAAAAATGTTGCCTTTTCCTCAGACTAATGATGCATGACAGCTTATTGAACTCTCCAAGGCATAATAAAATATATTTAGAGGTTTATTTTGTGTCTGTTTTGTTGGAGCTGGGGGAGAGGGGGAGTGGTGGTTGGGGTTTGTGGGGTGTTTGGAGGGTTTTTTTGCAGTTCAAAAAATCATTTTAGTAAATCTTAGTACTACATCCTGTTTTGAAAAAAGAGAACTAATAACAGGTAAGAGAATATTCATCTCTTATCTCTAAGTCAATATTTCAGTATCAACTATTGTGAATGGGGTGGGGTGTGATTAAGTCAACTCATCATGCTGGAAATGAAGATTTTCATAAAGGGTTGGGCTCCAGAACAAACAAGATGTTAACCAGCTCTTTCAAGCAGCCAGTTGTTTATTATAACACCCGATGCACACAAGGAACTGAAGGTTTACTTTTAAGGTGGGCCTAAATCTTCCAGAAACATACCTGCAACTTCTTCTAAATTTTGTGGTTGCAGACCAGACTAAAGATAAACCAAAGCCCATATTAGCAGAATTTCTTCGGACCATGTAGGTCTATATTATTTGGTGCACATCACTAAAACCTTTGTCTTTCACCAATTCAACTCCTCTATTCTCTACCACTCTCTCACAAGATTTGTCCTCTGCTTAGTTTTTCACTGAGAGTGATAGAGTAAGCAGGCCCATACATTACACATAAAATTAATTAATTATTAATTACATAAAGCTGATAAGGTTTTGTCGTGGTTTAACCCCAGCCAGCAACTAAGCACCACACAGCCACTCGCTCACTCCCTACCAGTGGGATGGGGGAGAGAATCAGAAGGGTAAAAGGGAGAAAACTCGTGGGTTGAGATAAGAACAGTTTAATAATTGAAGTAAAATAAATTAGAACAGTTAAATAGGCAAAGCAAAACGCGTGCACACAAACAAAGCAAAACAAGGAATTCATTCACTGCTTCCCATGGGCAGGCAGGTGTTCAGCCATCCCCAGGAAAGCAGGGCTCCATCACGCATAACGGTTACTTGGGAAGACAAACGCCATCATACCCAGTGTCCCCCCCTTCCTTCTTCTTCCCCCAGCTTATATACTGAGCATGATGTCATATGGTATGGAATAGCCCTTTGGTCAGTCTGGGTCAGCACTGCCCCTGGCTGTGCCCCCTCCCAGCTTCTTGTGC